CCTGGGTGACACTCAGGAGAGTCCCTGGGCGTTCCCAGGTGGTCTGTCGCCAGGTAGGCTGCGGGGAGGCCCGGGCTGCCCATGGCCACGCCCATTTCGGGCAGGGGGTGGGGCCCATCTGGCTGGATGACATCACCTGCGCGGGGGACGAGACGCACCTGGCGCAGTGCCGCGCCCAGCCCTGGGGGAACAACAACTGCCACCACGGCGAGGACGCGGGTGTGGTGTGCTCAGGTGAGCTCAGGTGGGCTCAGGTAACCTCCACATCAACCCCACCCTCCCACCCCACCTCATCCCCCTCAGATAACCCCCTGCCCACCTCACCTTTCCCCTCACCCTCCCGTTACCTGCCCAGGTGCCAACGTGACGGAGGAGCAGTTCCAGGTGCGCCTGGTGGGCGGCCCCACCCCCTGTGCGGGGCGGGTGGAGGTGCTGCACGAGCACAGGTGGGGCACGGTCTGCGACGACACCTGGGACCTGCGGGACGCGCGGGTCACCTGTCGCCAGCTGGGCTGTGGGGACGCCGTGGCCGCCCCCGGCCACGCCCACTTCGGGGAAGGAGCGGGGCCCGTCCTGCTGGACCAGGTGGGCTGCACAGGTGAAGAGAACACCTTGGAAGAGTGCGACAAGGGCCCCTGGGGGGTCCACAACTGCAACCACGAGGAGGACGCAAGCGTGGTGTGCACAGGTGAGGGGCGGGGCGTGGGGAGGGGGCTCAGGTGGGGCTGGGGAGGGGCAGGTGTGCTCAGGTAACACAGGCAGGGGGCTGTAGGTGTGCCCAGGTGTGCTCAGGTGTGTGCCCCTCCCTCGCAGGTCCCACCCCCCTGCAGGTGCGGCTGCGGGATGGCCCCGGGCCCTGTGCGGGGCAGGTGCAGGTGCTGCACAACCAAACCTGGCTGGGTGTGTGCGGCCGCACCTGGAGCCTGCTGGAGGCACAGGTGGTGTGCAAGGAGTTGGGTTGCGGCCCCGCCCTCAGCGCACCTGTCGGCGCTCACCTGGCCCCGGGGGCGGCGCTGGAGGGTCTCACCTGTCGGGGCTCTGAGACGCTGCTCCTGGAGTGCCTGAGGGAGGGGGCGAGGCCGGGCACCTGCCACGCAGGTGGGGCCGCAGGCGTCATGTGCACCATGCCCAAAGGTGAGGCACAGGGAGGGGAGGGAGGTGTCAAGGTGGGGGGATGGGTGTGACAGGTAGAGCTGGGACAGGTGTGAAGAGGTAGGACAGGTGGGATAGGTGAGAAGGGTGGAGCCAGGACAGGTGTGACAGGTAGGGGTGGGACAGGTGACTCACCTGCACAGGTAACTGAAGTTGAATGCTCCAACCCCCCCTTCCCCTCTCACCTAATTAACCCCTCCTACACGTGGTGCACGTAAGGCTAGGTTTGGGGGATTCTCACCTGTCCCCTCCCCACCAGGTGTGCCCCCCACCTGTGCACCCCTGGTGGCCCTGCTGGGGCTGCTGACGTCACTCAGTGGGGTACTGCTCTGGCTCACCTTGAGGACCAGGTGTGTGGGAGAAGCCCCAGGTAAAGGTGAGTCCCGCCACCCTGAAGTGTGTCCCAGCTATCTCCAGGTGTGTCCCAGGTATCCCCAGGTGTATCCTAGGTGTTCCCCAGGTGTCACCAGGTGTGTCCCCTCCCCCCACAGGTCACCTGGGGGCCATTTACCTGCCCAGGAGGGTCCCCCCTGAGGAGGTGGAGACGCTGCAGCTCATCAAGGACGACGGCCCCTGACCTCACCTGTCACCTCTCACCTGCCCCCCCCCCAAACACACCTGGGTGGCTCAGGTGTCCCCACACACTTGGGGCAGATGGAAGGGGACAAAAAAAGTGGGAAAATGGGGTGGAAATTAATAAAATTGGGGGTTTCAGCCATCCAGATGAGACAGGTGTGAATTCTGGGGGGGAGGGGGGATTGATCCTCCAGGTGTGAATTTTGGGGGGTCCCCAAACCCTCCAGGTGTGAAATCAGGTGAGAACACCAATGATGTCATTAATTAACCATCATTTAATTAGCATATGCCCCACCCAGGTGCACCCAGACCCCACCCCCAGCACTACAGGTACCACCCAGGTGGGACAGGTGAGTCCCAGGTGTCCACAGGTGAGACTCAGGTGAGCCTCAAGTGCCCACAGGTGAGACTTAGGTGCCTACAGGTGAGCTGTCCCATCCAAAGGGGGACAAATCCAGGATCAAGGAATCTGGGAAGGAGGATCCAGGTGAGCACCTGCCCAGTCCCAGGTGCACCTGGGGCACCAGGTGTGGCTGTTCCACCCCAAAAATCCAGGTGAGGGCTCAGGTGAGGTGTGCACACCTGGCCTCAGGTGTGTCAGGGGTCCCACAGGTCCTGGGGGCATGTCCAGTGCCACTGATGTCACAGCTCAGGTGTCGTGGTTCAGGTGCTGCAGGTTTTGGGGACCACACCTGTCCAGGTGTGCAGGTCCAGGGTCCGCTCACCTGGGGCTTGGGTGTCACAGTTCAGGTGTTGCTGCTGAAGGTTCTCAGGGTGCACACCTCTCCTGGCTCCCTTCACCTGTCTCTCAGGTGTCCTGACACAGGTCCATCAGCTTTTTGGGGTCCGCACCGGGTTTTTGGGGCGCACACCCGCCCTGGCCACCCCGCCCCGGCGCTCAGGTGTCCCTGTGCACGCGCTGGTGCTGCAGCAGGTTGGAGGGGTGTGCGAAGCCCTTGGCGCACACCCCGCACTTGTAGGGCGTCTCCCCCGTGTGCACCTTCTCGTGCACGCCCAGGTAGGCGAGGTCCTTGAAGAACTTGTGGCAGAAGCTGCACTCGTAGGGCCGGGCCTGGCTGTGCACGCGCCGGTGCTGCAGCAGCAGCGAGGGCCGGGCGAAGGCCTTGCCGCAGGCCTCGCAGCCGTAGGGCCGCTCGCCCGTGTGCGCGCGCTGGTGGATGGCCAGGTAGGACGACTGCTTGAAGGCCTTGCCGCAGGTGCGGCAGGCGAAGGGCCGCTCGCCCGTGTGCACCCGCTCGTGCGACGCCAGCGCGTTGCTCTGCTTGAAGCCCTTGCCGCAGAGGCCGCAGGTGAAGGGCCGGTCCCCGGTGTGCACCCGCTCGTGCACCTTCAGCGAGTGCCCGTAGGTGAACCTCTTGCCGCAGACGCCGCAGGCGTGAGGCTTGTCCTCGCAGTGCTGCCGCCGGTGCAGCTGCAGCGCCGCGCCCGTCGCCAGCTCCTTGCCGCAGTCGCCGCAGCGGAAGGGCTTGTCGGCGCCCAGGTGCGTCAGGGCGTGCCGCTGGCGCTCGTAGGGCGTCTTGAAGCCCTTGGGGCAGCGCGGGCAGGCGAAGGGGCGCTCCCCGCTGTGGATGCGCCGGTGCTCCTGCAGGTTGGAGGAGCGCTTGAAGCGCTTGCCGCACAGGTCGCAGCGGTGCGGCCGCTCCTCGGTGTGCACCAGCCCATGGCTCTTGAAGTCCGAGTGGCGCTTGAAGGTGGCCCCGCACGCCTGGCAGGTGAAGGGCCGTGCCTCGGTGTGCACGACCTCGTGGCTCAGCAGCTCCCACGCCCGCTTGAAGCCCTTGTGGCACACGGGGCACTGGAAGGGCTTCTCGGCCACGATCACCCGCCGGATCTCCAGCGGCGCCGGCGCCTCGCCCGGCGGATCCGCCCACTCCGCCTCGCCCGCGGGGCTCACGGCACCGGCGCCGCCGCGCCCGCCCAGCACCAGCTTGGCCGTGGAGTAGACGCCGCGCTCGTCGATGAGCTGCACGAAGGCCTGGCTGGGCTCACCTGGGCTCAGCTCACCTGGGCCCAGCTCACCTGGGATCAGCTCACCTGGGCCCAGCTCACTTGCGTGGCCCAGCTCGTCTGGGCTCAGCTCACCTGCGTGGCCCAGCTCACCTGGGCTCACCTGGTGGCCCAGCTCACCCGGGCGACCCCACAGCACCTGCAGGTGGTTCCTGTGGGAAGGTCCAGGTTCCTCAGGGCTCTCCAGGTGTTCCTGGCTGGGGCGGGGCCGACGGGGGTTCAGGTATAGGCGAGGCTTCCGCCGGCGCAGGGGAGGGGCTGAGGCCTCACCTGGAGGCCTCACCTGGGCGCAGGAGGCTCCTCCTGGTGCCACCTGAGTGGTCTCCTGGCCTTCATCACCTGGTTCTTCTTCTTCCTCACCTGGTTCTTCATCACCTGGATCCTCATCAAGCTCTTCCTCACCAGGTTCTTCATCAGCTGGTTCTTCAATTTCTTCCTCACCTGGTTCCTCCTCACCTGGTTCATCATCAGGTTCTTCCTCACCAAGTTCTTCCTCCTCACCTGGTTCTTCACCAAGTTCTTCCTTCTCAGCTGGTTCTTCCTCCTCACCTGGTTCCTCCTCCCCTGGTTCCTCTTCCTCACCTGGTTCTTCACCAAGTTCTTCCTCACCTGGTTCTTCCTCCTCCCCTGGAGGCTCCTCCAGGATCCGTCGGGAAAACTGGGGTTCGTGGCCCCTCCCCTGCAACCCCTCCATGGCCACACCTGAAACCCGGGACAGGTGAGAGGGTGAGAGGAGACACAGGGGAGGGGATGGGCCTGGGATTCCCCTGAGCTGGGCTTAGGGACCCCCAGAGTCGGGCTTAGGGACCCCCAGAGCTGGGTTTGGGGATCCTTTTGGGAACCCTCTAGGTCGGGCTTGGGGACCTCCCAGGCTGGGTTTAGGGATACCCTGAGCGGGGTTTGGGGACCTCCTGAGCTGAGGCCCCTGCCAGTTTGTCCCAGTCCCCTGCCAGTCCCCCCCAGTCCTCTCCCAGTATACTCCAGTCCTGTCCCAGTTTCTCCCAATCCCCTCCCAGTCTCTCCCAGTCCCCTCCAATCCCCTCCCAGTCTCTCTCAGTCCCTCCCACTCCCCCCCCAATCCCCTCCCAGTCCATCCCAGTCTCTCCCAGTTTCTGACCCGGCGCCGCCGCCGCCCCCGGAGCCACTTCCGGCCGCGCTCGCGCGCAGTGACGTCACTTCCGGGGACGGGTCCTGGGGCGGGACTGGGAGGGGAATGGGAGGAACTGGGAGGAACTGGGAGGGACTGGGCGGGACTGGGGGAGACTGGGAGGGACTGGGCGGGACTGGGAGGGACTGGGGGACACTGGACCGTACTGGGGTGTACTGAGAAGGCGCTGGGCCCTGCTGGGAGGGACTGGGATGGCGCTGGGAAGGCACTGGGACGCACTGGGAGCGTACTGGGCTGTACTGGTCTGAACTGGGCTGTACTCCTCTGAATCCCAGAAAACTGTCACTCTCCGAAGGTCCCTTTACGCTTCTTTTTCCTCATCCAGGGGGATTTCACCCCAAATCCCACAAATTCCCGCCCATTCCCTCTTCTGTTCCCTCCCACTCTCCTCCCTGGTGACCTTTGGAAAACCAGGAACCGTTTTACCGCTGGAATTTCCGCCCTTTTTGGCTCCAAAGGTCCCAGGAGCCTCCACAGCCTCTGACAGGTTTCAATCCCAAGGGATTTCCTGGAGATCCTGCGGGTGCTGCTGGAAAACCGGGTTGGTTTTTCCTTTTTCCACGCGATTTCCCACCTTTTTCAGGGAATTTTATCCCATTTCCATTTTGTATTTCCCATAAATTCCCGCTTTCTGTTTATTTATAATTCCCGGAGCTCCCAAGTTTTTCCTCTTCCTTCTTTTCCCACGGAATTTCTGTCACTTTCTCTTCCCTTGCATTGCTTTTTCAGCATTTTGGGATTTGCCCTGAAATATTTGGGAATTTTCTTTTATTCCCTCGGGAAACCAAAAGGAATTTTGGCACCGTGATGTTTTGGGGGAGGGGTTGAAAAAGGGCCAAAATGGGAAAAAAATCAAAAAAACCCCTGTAGATAAAAAAACCCCAAAGTTTCCAGAATGGCCTCGTTTTCCTGGGAATTGCTGCTGAGGAAAAGGACGCCCTGCAAAAAGGGAACTCCCAGGAGTTTTCCCTGTTTTCCCTTTTTTCCCCTCCTTTTCCTTTTCCCCCCTTTTTTTCTCCCTTTCCCATTTTTCTCCCTTTCCCCCTTTTTTCCCTTTTCCATTCCCTATAATCCAGGAAAGGAACCCACAGAACAACTTCCAAAAACCAGGAACAGTTTGTTGGAGTAGACCCAGCTGCTCCAGAACTCAGGAGCAGGACCCAATCCCATGGATTTCCCATTCCCACCTGGAATTTTAACTTTCCCCACAGAAATGGGGCCCTGGATCCGGATGATCCCCCTCATCGCGTTCTCCGGACTCCACCCCACAACGGGTAATTTTATGGGATTTCATGGATTTGTTGAGCTTGGAAAAGACCCTGAGGCTCCCCAGGAGAGCTTCTGGAATTCTTTGGGATTTGAGCTTCCAAATTATTCCATCGGGGAACTCAGGGAAGTTAATTTTTGGATTTTGGGGGGGGGGAATTTTTGTCTCCTGATAAATTCCTTGGCTCATTTTGTTTTATTCCCACCTGGTGTGAAGGACCCAGAATCTTCATCCCAATAATTCCAGCTGCCTTGAGCTCCTGTGTCCTGCTCATCCACAGGGAGAATCCATGACCCACTGCTCATCCTGGATGGATTGGAAGACTCCGGAATCCGTCTCAAGTGCCTCTCGGAGCGGCTCTTTTCCGAAGTCAAGGTGTTGTGGATGGATGGGAAAGGCAGGAATATCACCGGGAATCCCCTCAGCACGGACACATCTGGGAATGCCGGGAGCTCCATCGTCCTCAAACCGGGATCTGGGAACGCCGTGTCCTGCAGGATCATTGACAGCCTCGGGAAAACATCCACGGAATCCTCCGTCATCATCACAGGTGAGGGGGGAAAACAGGGATCTGGTGCCGCTTTTCCCAGGAATCCCAATTTTTAGTGGGATAATCAATCAATTCCCGGTCTAGGGATGCAAAATTCCAGGTTTGGGGATCCAAATTCCCTCCACTCCAGGTGTGTCCCCAAAATCTCATATAACGGAGCCCCTGGATTGTTTTCCAGAGAGTTTCTTCCCGACCATCTCCCTCTGGCTCCCGGCTTTTGTGATGATCCTGCTCTTTGGAATATTCCTGGTCCTGGCAGCTGTTTATAAACTCCGGAGTAAGTTCCTTCATTTCCTTCCCTTTCCCTTTTCCCCTGTACCCTTTCTATCCTTTCTTTCCCTTTCCCCCCTTTTTTCCCTTTTCCCATTTTCCTCTTTTTTCCCCTTTTCCCCCCCTTTTTCCCCTTCCCAGGAAAACCTTCCTTGGAATAATCCCGAGTTAACCAACATTCCCCTTTCCCTGTTTTCCCACAGTCAACCAAAAGGTGACGGATCAGGAAAGTGAGTCAAACCATTCATTTAACTAATTAATTAAATTAAACCTCAGGCTTCTAAAAATATAAATAAAACATGAAAATAAATAAATACAAAAAAGAGAAGCAGAAAACAGTCCTTAAAACTGATTTTTAAATTAATTAATTAAAGTTATAATTAAACTTTTAAATTAATTTAAAAATTACTTTTTTTGTGCTCTAAAATGTTCCTCTTTTCCCAGAAAATGCCCAGAAGCAAATTCAGGAGGGTGAGTGGAAAAAAAAAGTGATTTTTTTCTCGACGATTTCTGTCTTCAAATTTCTTTAACAAATTTTAAAAAAAATGAATCAAATCCAGCGAGAAAATCAAATTAAAATTAACCTGAACCCGGGAAATCAGTGACTGTTAAAAAAAACCTGGTGAAATTGTCGGAAAAATGGGAAAAATTCGGTGTATTTTGGGGGAAAAGGGGGTAAAAAAGGGAATAAAATGTGATTTTTAATATTTGAACCCGATTCCTTTCAGACATCGAGGAATTCAAGATGGAGCTGGGTAAGGGCTGAGCTCGGGACTGAGGGTTTGTTAGACTGAGATTATTTGTTAGAGTCATTCTGATGATTTCATAGACTTGGAGGGGGGGGTGGTGTCCTGAATTTCCCTCCCTTTTCCTCATTTTCTCCCTTTGTTTTCCAGAGGAAGTGCAGGAAAAATTCCAGAAGGGTAAAAATTCCTGGATTATTCCTCCAGAATTAATCACATTTTATATAATAATATGTATCATAGGTAGAATTATAATTATTTCAATTATTTAAGAATATAAATTATATTATTATTAATTTATTAATCCTGTTAGCAGTAATTATTGATTTTGTAATTATTAATAATTAATAATTAATTTATGGTTATTAATGATTATATTTATTAATATTAATTATTAATAATATATTTTATATCAAGTCACTAAATATAAAATATATATTTTCATGTATTTTAGATGTATTATAGAATATTTTAAATATATTTTTATATTGTACTTAAAATATAATCTATTTTAATACATTTTAATATATTAAATATGATTTTGTGTATTTTTTTATGTATTGCACATAATTTAAAATATATTTCTATATCTTTTAACCTTTCCATCCCCAAATTCCCAGAATTCCCCTCCTTTCCCCTTCCCAAATCCTGATTTCCTTTTCTTTCCTTGTAGAAAACCAGGAGATGACAACAAAAATCGGTGAGAAAATTCCGCAGCTTGTGGAAATTCGGGAATTTTGGGGTTTTGGGGCTCTGGAAAAAAAAGCACTTTGGGGGAACATTGGGGCCACTTGGAGGGCTGGGGCTGGTGACACACCTGGGACAGATGACATGGGTGACAGGTGACACACCTGGCTCAGGTGTCACAGGTGACAGGTGACACACCTGGGACAGGTGTCACAGGTGACAGGTGACACACCTGGGACAGGTGACATGGGTGACACACCTGGCTCAGGTGTCACAGGTGACAGGTGACACACCTGGGACAGGTGACATGGGTGACACACCTGGTTCAGTTGTCACAGGTGACAGGTGACACACCTGGGACAGGTGACATGGGTGACACACCTGGTTCAGGTGTCACAGGTGACAGGTGACACACCTGGGAGAGGTGACACCAGGTGACAGGTGACACACCTGGGAGGGGTGACACCAGGTGACACACCTGGCTCAGGTGTCACAGGTGACAGGTGACACACCTGGCTCAGGTGTCACAGGTGACAGGTGACACACCTGGGAGGGGTGTCACAGGTGACAGGTGACACACTTGGGACAGGTGTCACAGGTGACAGGTGACACACCTGACTCAGGTGTCACAGGTGACAGGTGACACATCTGGCTCAGGTGTCACAGGTGCCTCACCCGGCCCAGGTGCCCCTTTTCCAGCAGGACGGTGACGGAATTTCTCTCCTTCCAGAACAAATCCAGGCCCAACTGGGTGAGTTGGCCCCAACCCCCAAATTCTCAAACTCCGCCCCCGATTATGCAAAAATCATGCAAATGAGCTGCTGCCGCGGTAATTAATTAATTAGCATTAATTAGTCGTTCATTTCCCTGCAGATTTCAGACGTGCCCAGAGCTATGCGGGTGAGTCAGGGCCTTCCCCTTCCCCTTCCTCTTCCTCCTCTTCCTCCTCTTCCTCTCCTTCTCCTCCTCCATTTTCACATTAAATTATCCACAACCCCCCAAATTTTATATCATTTTCTCCCATTTCCTATCACTTTCCATAACTACTTTTCCCTAATTCCCTGTAAATCCTCGGCTTTCCCCCTTTCCCAGTCCCGCTGACCCTGGATGAGCTCTGCAAACATCCCGAACTCTCCCTCCGGGACCAATCCCGGGTCGTTTCCTGCTCTGCTGCCGAGCAGCTCCACCCCAAACCCGTCGTCCTGGCCAAGGAATCCTTTTCTCAAGGGAAGCACTACTGGGAAGTGGAAGTCGGGGATGGATCCGGCTGGGAGCTGGGGGTGCTGGCTGAGGAAATCCGGGATTCCCTGCGGAACGACGGGATGGCGCTGCCACGGGAGCAGGAGCAGGTTCTCAGCCTCGGCTATTCCCGGGGGGAATTCAGCATTCCCGGGGGCTGGAATTCCGGGCCCTGCCCAGTGCTCGGGGTTTTCCTGGATCAGGAATCCCACAACCTCTCCTTCTTCGATGTGGAAGGGAAGAGTCTCCTGGCATCGCTTCCCTTGAGGTTTTCTGGGAATCTCTTCCCATTTTTCAGCCCCGGCTCCGATGGAAAGGGGTTGGGAATTCGCTCCGTGGGGGGTTAATAATTAAAATAATAAATTATTTAAATATCAATCGATTATCATATTTATAATTGGTGATAATTAATAAATTTGTAGAGGGGATCATAATGTAAAATAATTTCTTGAATAATAAATTAAATTAGAAATTAAAGTTTTCCAATTTTTTTTCTGTTTCCTATCCTAATTATTTTCTCCTCTGGAGAAGAGGATGGAAAACAGGAAATCTCCAAATTCCCAAGGGAATCCCAGATCCAGAGATTCTGCTGGGAATTGCATCCAAGGGAACTCCCACCCCCCTTGTTCGTTCCACCTGATGGAGTCGGGATCAAGCTCCTGCTCCAGGCTCTTCCCACCCAAATTCCAGCACATTTGGGGACCAAATAACCTCTCCTTCCCATCCTTTTCCTGCCAGGAATTCCCCAAGGGGCCCAAACGTCCTAAGAATTCCCAAAACAACATTTCCCTTCAAAAACCTTTTATTCCATTTCTTTTTTTTCCCAGGAAAAACCAGTCCCAGATGGTTTTTTTCCAGGGAAAAACAGTCCCAAATGGGTGTTTTTTCCAGGGAAAACCAGTCCCTTGCCCCCTCCTTTCCCTCTTTTTTCCCTCCCACACCTTCACGTTCCTTCTCATTCCCATTTCCATCATTTTCTCCCCCCTTTCCCCAATCCCTGCTCAAAGTCCCTTTAGTGGGACCGGGATCGGCACCGGGCGGATCCTGATCCCTTCCCCCTGGGACACAAACGGGAAGAACATTCCCTGGGAATTCCCTGTGGTGCTCAGACCCAGCCTCTCCAGGAGCTCCGCAGTCTCCACGTCGTAGAATTCCAGGCATTCCCAATCCAGGTCCAGGAAGACGCCGAGGGCGGAGCCGCTCCAGCGGAGCTTCCCGAGCCCACGGGCTCCGGCGCTGGAGAAAAGCTCTCCCTGGGATCGGCGCAGAGCCCAGGAATCCTGGCTGGGAATGGGCCGGGCCTCGCATCCCGCGTTCTCCCGCAGCACTCCCAGCGCCCAGTCCTGCTCCCGGCCCAGCTCCAGCTCCCAGTAGTGCTTCCCGCTTCCAAAGCCTTCCCGCCCCACGCGCACCGGGAATGTGGGAGCGGACGCGTCGCCCTCCCCGCTCGGGAGCTCCAGGATCCGCTCCAGGGCATTCCAGGCCACGGGAACTGCGGGAAAGCAGGAGGAGAAGCCAGGGAATCCGTGAATCCCTGAATTCCCAAGTCCCTGAATCCCAGAATCCTCAAATCCCAGAATTCCCAAATCCCTGGATCCCTGAGTGGCTGAGGTTGGAAAGGCCCCCAAGGCCCCTCCCCGGATCTCTCCCATCCTAGGATTTCCCAGGACACAAATCCCTCTCCCTTTTCCCATCCATCCTCTCGGGAATTGCATCCTGATCCCATCCCGGCCTTGGACACCTTCCAAGACTCCCTTTTCCCACCATTCCCAACATCCCCATCCCTTCTCCATTCCTGCCATCCAAGGCACATTCCTATTTTTCCAGCTCACCTGCGTGGCTCCGGGCTTCCCAGAAATCTATGGAAAAACAACAGACATCACTGAATTCCAGGTTTTTTGGTGGAATTTGATCCTCCCTGGACTGGGAAAACCCTTTGGATCTCCCAAAAATCGCAATTAACCCCCAATCCCAGGAATTTCCACAATCCCAACTTTTTTACTCACCCAGCTCTGCCTTCAGTCGACCTGCAAAGAAAAAATATTCCAGGCATTTTTGTTTGGATTTCCGATTTTTCCCAGTTTTCCCAATTTTTTTCCAGTTTTTCCCATTTTTTCCATTCTTTCCTCAATTTCTCCCAGCTTTCCCAATGGGAACAACTCCTGGGAGTGGAAAACAAGGATATTCCTCCCCATAAATTTATATTTCACTGCATTCATTAACTATAAATCCAGGGAAAACATGGATATTAACAGGAATTCTCATCCTGTTGTTTCTAAAGATGACCCAGAGGCACATTGTTATGTAAATTTATGCAAATTTATGCAAATCCATTCCCTTACCAAAGCGTTTCTTGAAGTGGATCTTGGCTGGAAAAAAAAAAAAAAGAGCAGAAATTGAGGGAGGGGAAAATTCCAGGGGAATAAAAAGGAAAATATCCATGGGAAAAACATTGGAATTACGCCAGTTATTCCTTCTGGGAATTCTGTTAAATTCCAGGATTGAGGGAATTGCAGGTTTTTGCTAAAAAGGTGGAAAAGAGGAAGGAGAAGAAAAAGTTTTGATCCCGTAAAAAGTCCCAGTGGAATTTGGTGGAAGATTTGGGCTGGGATTCCAGAGTCTTTTCCTGCCAAAGTGATTCCATGAAATTGCAAGGAAGAGGAAAAAGCTGTGGCTGGATCAGGGGTTAATTAATCACTTTTAATTAAGATGAACTTGATTAAACCGAGGATTGTTTTCCCAGGGAATATTTTATGGGAATGGGATTTACCTGCTCTTTTCTTGGCTTTCTCTCCGTCTGGAGATTCCGGATGTGGAATCAAGGGAATAATTGGGAATAACGTTAATATTTAATAATAGATATTGTTAATATTTGTTAATATCTATTATTAGTGTTGTTCTGTAGGTGCCTCTCCCAGAGTTAGAGGGGAGGGGAAAGGGAAAAGGGGGAAAAGGGAAAAGGGAAAGTTTGGGGAGCGAAGGGAAAGGAAAAGGGAATCTCTTACCCAACAGTGACTTCACCTTCTTTTTTTCTGGAAAAGAGAGGACACGGAATTTTGGTTCCCAAAATTCCCAATTTGGGAACTTTCCTAATATTTGACATGGGACATTTCCCGTTTCCTGAGGGATTTTTTACCTTCTTCCCTTTCCATCTTCACTTTCACTGAAAAACAAGGGAAATTCATCCAAAATAGCCATAATAAATACAAATAATATAATTAATATAATTAATATAAATAATTCACCTTAATTCCTCATCACTCACCTGCACTGGCATTTTTCCTGTGGCTCCCTGGTTAAAAAAAGGGGGAAAAAAGCCTTTTTATTCCATGTTTTTTTGCACAGAAAAGAGCTCCAAGTCATCATCTGGGATTTAATCCCATCAGGAACACCCTTGGGTTGATTTCCCAAGGAATTCTGGGACACAGAGTCAGGAATTCCCCACCTTTTTTGGGCTCCAATTCCAGAATTTGGTCACTCCGTTAATTTTTTAATTTGATTTTTTTGCTGTTTTTATTTTACCCACATTCCCCTCAGGAATTATTTTTATTCCAGGGGATTTTTTCCCCCGGGATTTTCCCAACACTTACTCCTCAGGAGGCAAAACAGAGTGGAAATCAGGAGCAGGTTGAAGCCCAAAAGCACCAGGAAACCGCTCAGCCAGGAGGAGATGGAAGGGAGGAAAATATCTGGGAAAAGGAGCGACACTCCATCAATTATTTTATATTAATGATTTTCAAAGTCTATTAATAATTAGAGAGTTTTATTTTGGACTCGAGGGTTGCATATTAATTATTAAATATTAAGTATAAATTAAATTATTAAATATTAGGGTTAAATTAAGGATTAAACATTCCACTGTCGATTTAGGGAGCAAATATCGTACCAGGGGGACCAGGGGATTTCTCCCAGCACGGATCCCGGGAACGGAGCCGATGCCAGGGGTGATTCCAGACCCACCTGAGATGCGGATCCGGGATTCCCTGGTGACGTTGAGCCGGGGGTTGATGATCCTGCAGGAAACTTCCAGGTCGGACCCGGGCGGGAGGGTCAGGGGAGCGTCGACACGGAACAGCCCCGACGGCTCCGGCGTCGTCCTGGGGCTGGGAAATCCCTTCCGGACCTTTCCTTGGCCATCCAGCCAAAGAATTTCGGGATTCGGGAACCAGCCGGAGGCTCGGCAGGAGAGGCTGAGGTCCCTTTTCCGGGACCTCACGACAATGGTGGGAATGTCACCGATGGCTGCGGAAAAACGGGGGGGTTTCCATTCCAAACAGCGGGAAATTGGGGTTTTGGGGGAGTTGGTTTTCCTTGGAAAAGGGTTTTAAGGGTTTGAAGGTGTTGGAAGGTTTTTTCCCTGGATTTAACGAGGGATGGGAGGGAATTAAAGGGGAAGGAATGCAAGGGATTCCAAGGGAATGAGGGATTCCAGGGAGAATCTGGGAGAGGGAGGGGGGAGGTTGGTTTAGGAGGAAGTCGGGAGTGGGATTTGCCAGGATTTGGGAAAATGTGGGAATTAAAAGTACAATATTATATATTTATACATTATATAGTTATAAAGTGTATATTGTACACTATGTATTTATATATTATGTATTATATATCTACGACATCATATTTATAGAAAAAATATACAACACAAAAATATCAAATATAAAAAATAAAAACCATAGAACATAAAAATATAAAATATAAAAATTTATTTCAAATGCATAAAAATGCACCAAAATAAAATAACCATTAAAATTTTGCCCCATTTTTTTTTTTTTGAAAAGGAATAAAAAGATCCCAGAATTCCCACCTGCCACTTCCAGCTCCACCGACACCTCCCGGGACACGTCCTGGGCTGACACGTGGCAGGTGTAGGACCCCTGGTCGGAGATCCTGACGTTCCTCAATCCCAGGGACACATTCCCGGCCCAGAATTCCCTGGGGAAAAACTCCCCCCGGCCCCGGAACCTCCCGTCCCACTCCTCCTCTCGGCTCTTCCCATCGAAACTGCCCACGGGGATCCTTCGGGGACCGTCGTGGAATTCCCAGCGGACGGAGAAAACCTCGGGAATGGGGTCCTGGGTCACCCGGCAGGGCAGGACAACCCGCTCCCCGATGATCCCGACGACGGGAATTCCGGGAGAACTCACAGACCGACCTGTTTCGGGACAAAATGGGGGTTTGTTCCCGGTTATCCGCGTCGGGTTTTCATGGAATTACGTTGGGCAGCCAACAGAACCACGTCAGCGGGAGAGGAATCCGGAGGAGAACTGGGAAGACAACACAGAACACTCGTGGGATTTGACATTCCTGGATTTATCCTGCAGTGTTTCGAACCTTGGATCATTTTGGTTGGAAAAATCATGGAAAAATGGGGGGGAAAGCGATTCCCTGGGGAGCCTCTTCCAGCCTCGATCACCCTCTGGATAAAGAAGCTTTTCCAAGGTTTTTGAAGGAATTTCAGCAGAAATCGGGTGTTTTACAGAAATACATCCCAAATATATCCCAAATGGAATTGTCTTCACCTGTGGCCAGGTGGGATCCGTGCTGGAATGTCAGGACTGGGAGCAACGTCAACCACCAGACCCCGGAATCCATCGATGTCCCGGAATCTCCCGGAATTCCTTCGGCCCCTGCACACATTCCACGGAAAACAACAAGAGAATCGAGGGATGAAATAACAGGGAAAAATATCTGGGAATTTATGGATGGAGGGATTGGGGTTCTCAAGGAAAAGAAGGTCCCGAGTGTTTTATTTTATTCCATTTATTCCACTTAAAAAATCAATTTATTCCAGTTAAAAAATATCAATTTACTCCCAATAAAAAAATCAACTTATTCCAGATGAATCAATTTCTAGAAGTGAATTCATGGATTTTTCCAACCAGGAATTTCTTACCGGAGCAGGAAGGACCAGAAGGTTCCTCTGGAGTCGGGTCGGGAAGAACTTTGTCCCCAGATTTTATATTTTTATGGCCCCTGAAAGTCCTGATTTGCATTTTCCAAAAGGGTTGGACCTTGAAAAAGGGAAGTGGGAATTCTATAATAGATTAGGGTTATATTCTATATATTATAATACATTATATATTATGTATTGTATTAGAGTATATATTGTATTAGAGTATATATTAAACTATAAATGATGTATAGTATCTAATATAATAATATATTAAATATATCCTGTTATATTATTCTATTAGTTATTATCATAAATATAATAATAAAATAACATATAAAATATATTAGGGTTATCTTTTATCTATACATTATATATTATGTTATGTATTGTGCTAGAGTATATATTATACTATAAATTATATATAATATCGAATATAATCAGATATTCACTATACATTATTTATTATTATTATTTATTAGAATAATAAATAATTGTATTTTGCAACACGCCCCGAAATCCCTCCCCCGGCACAATCCCAGAGGAATCATTCCCCCCGGAATGATTTCTGCCCAAAACTCCGGGATTTCTCCCGGAGCCTCCAGGATTTTGCCCAAAACTCCGGGATTTCAGCCCAAAGTGCCGCCGGCGGCCGCCCCCTGCAGGAGCCCGGATAGCTCAGTCGGTAGAGCATCAGACTTTTAATCTGAGGGTCCAGGGTTCAAGTCCCTGTTCGGGCGACTCTTCCTTTTCCGCTCCCGCCGCATCCCGGGGGTCCCATCCCCGTTTTCCCCCCTCCTCTCCCGGGGGGAACAACCGCGGGGTCTCTTTTTCGTGGCGGAGGGAGCGGCGCGGAGGGCTCTGGGGCGGGCGGAGGGGGCGGCGCGAGGCGGTCCCATGGT